CGCCGCCGAGTCGGTAGGGGCTTGGGCATCCTGGGGGCAGGGGGCCGCGCCGCTGCCGCCTTTGTAACGGGGAGCCTCGGGCAGGGGGTGCTCAGGGGGCTGCGCCGCCCCCCAGTCGACGCGGAGGCGGGGAAACTTTGTTGGAAACTTGGCTCCGGGATCTCGGGGCGCCTGGGAGGGAGGCGCTCCTCCGCCTCTCCCTGCCGCTGCGCAGCCCGGGCTCCAGGTTGGGACTGGACCAAACCGGTGTCACTTCTTCTGCCTCCCACCTCTGTCCCGGTGATCCAGGGACAGTCCGGAGGGGGCCCTGAGTCCCCGCCCTTGCCCTCTGTGGCGCTGGGAGTCCGCCGCTCTGGGACCCGCGGTGGCCCCGGGATGAGGCCACCTGTGCTGAGGGGGGTCGTGCTGAGCCTTGTTGCCCACTCGGGGTGAGGGTGGGTGCTGGCCGACTGCAATCCAAGCTGCTCCCAGGACTGGCCGTGCGCTGCCACTGGCTTGTGACTTAGGGCAGGGGTCAGTCCCAGCAAACCTCAACGTCCCCACCTGCCACCGGTGACTAAGGAGGTAACCGCTGCTTCTTCAGGGTCCTTACAAAGTCGGGGCTCTGAACTTTCAAGGGAGAGGGGATAGATGGGTAGGCTCAGCCCTTGGCTAAGAGTTGGGCCTGTGCTTTCTGCAGCAAGGGTGTTTATTTCTGCGAAGGGCAGAGGGAGACACAGAAGCTCTCACCTGGAGTGGGGTGAAGGGGGTTGCGGATGAAGAGACCTCAGGGAGCTTGGAGGACGTGAGAAGCCTTCCCTTCTCACGGTCACTGTCCCCTGTCCGCATGTTCAAAGTCCTAGGCCACCAGAAACTCCATTCATCCCAGCTGCCAGCCTGGGGTAGAGATTGAGGTGGGAGAGGCCTGCTCACTGGGGAGGCTGAACGCACAGAAAAGTCAGGGAGTCCACCTACCTCTCCAGGAACCTGGACTTTGTGCCTTAAACCTCATTTTTTGGGGGGAGGGGTCCCTGTTGTTTAATCATTAATGCCAATTCCTTTACAGGCTCCTATTTCTCTGGGCTTACGTGGGGCAAGGTCTTTTGTGCCAGGCAGGCTTCTTTTGGAATGAATTAAATCCGGAGCCATAACTGTCCAGCACTTGCTGCCGTGCGTGGCCAACGTCTAGCTCTTACGGTGTCTGGCGGCTCTTGTCCTAATAGTTTTCTGATGAGTCTTCTAATGACGCCTGATTCGGACAACCCTGCTCTTTGCTGCCCTGAAACTGGTCCTGAGGCTAGAGGTGAACCACTGCCCCAAGGCCAGGCAGCTAACCAGGGGCTGAGTCAGAATCAAATTTGGACAACCAGACTTTTGAGTTCCCGATCCCCTTTTATCTTACTTTGTCGCATGATGCTGCACCCAGGGCCACTTCTGTACTCACCTTTGGGTGACTCAGGCTAGTCTGGAATCTCATGCCATGTGGGGCTGACCCGCCTCAAGGAATTCTGAGGTGGAAACTGCTGTAAACTCTGGGCCACATTGCCCACTGGGTAGTGGCTGAGCTGAGACTGGTGCCCAGGCCAGCTGAGCCCTGGTATGGTGCTCTGAACGAGGTCCTGAAGGCTGTGTTGGAGCCAGGCAGTTGGGGGAAGCATTCGATGCCACCTTGGCTCAGGGCGGTCTGGCCACTGTGGGGAAGGCAAGACCCAGGAGGCCGCGAGGTCACTGCCCAGGGGGGCGGAAGGGGGCAGGCAGTCTCATGCCAGTTCCAGCTCAGGAGCTGCTGAGCCTGCAGGTGCTGTAGGGTGAGGCGCAGACAGCTGTATCCGGCGCCTTGGGAAGGATGTGGTTTGAGGAAGGGGGCCCTGTGGGTCTCGCACTTGGTGAACTGTTGCCTGGGGAGGTCACCCCAGACCAGCTGCTTCCTGACAGAGGAGCCCTGTCTCTCCTTCTTGACCTCAGCGCTGCCTTGCCTGCGAATGCCGCTAACTAGGGCAGGGGTTTCCCCTTTTTCCTCCCACCATCCCCTTTTGTCCCAAGGCTGTGGCCGGAAAAAATCAGACCTGGTCACAGATGGATTAGACCATAGAGCTATAGTCGGTCGGCTCCTTTCTTTTTGCAGGTGGAGACATCGGAGGTCTCGAGACCAGGGTTTTGCTCCTGGGTTATGATTTATAGAGAAGTTGCCATATATAGATCTGATGCATTTTACCTCACAAAAGCCTGGCCTGTGGGGACTCCTTGATGCCCATTTTACAGATAAGGGGATGGGGAGAGGGGAAAAGGCGCCATGAGGTCACAGAGCCTCTAGGCTACCAGAAGCCTTGCCCAGTATGCATGCCCCCCCGCACCCCCCCCCCCGGGGCCCTTGGGCACCCCAAAGGCTGCCCTTCTTATAGGTATCCGCAGCCCACTTGGTGCATACTTTGGGGAAGGAATCCAGGCAGCCCTGCCTTCCTCCCCTGTTTGGCCCAGCTCAATCCTAAACCAGTTCTTCCTGTCCAGCTGGGAGCATTCCCTGATCTGCCTTCCTGCCACTCCCTCCCTGGCCAATTAAAAGCAGCCTTGTTTTAGGACACTGACACCCCCACTCCCAGAGGTGTTGCTGCCCCGGGGCCACAGCCCCCTGACTTGGCACCTGTCCCAATCCATTTGGGGGGAGTGTCCCCCACCCCTAGGGTGTACTCTGTCTTAGAGATGTTGCTGACCTCCTAGATTGCCCAGAAGTAGGGGAGGGGGCGGAAGCCCAGCGGGTCTAGGGCCCTTGAGCTGCCAGTGAGAGCTCTTTGGGGTTTTCAAAAGCCCCTGAGGGCTACCAAATACCCAGTGAAACACCTGGGTCTGGGTTTGGAGGGCTCTGTGAGGTTGGGTCCTTCTCTAGGGGCGTCCTCGACCCCCATCTGTGAAACGGGCTTGAACTGAATGACCTTGAAAGCCCTTTCTACCTCTGCTGTTCCATTAATAATTAAATGCTGTTTGAAAGGGACTGTGGAAATCATAAAGGCTTCCCTCCCAGAAGAAATTTATGGCTCAGGAGGGATTAACATACTCCACCAAATTCCCCACACCCGCTGCCACCCACACACGCCCAGGGCAGGGACTCTGCTCTCTCACCTTCTCGTGAAATACCTGTGCTCACGTTGGCGCTGGGCAGTGTGTGTATCCCAGTGGATGAACTCTGTGCGTTGACCCACACTGCGGAGGCTTTCCTGACACTGAGAGGTAGGGGGTTACCTCCACGTTTGTGGGAAACCGATGCTCAGAGAATGGAGTGGCTCACCTAGAACAGAAACAGGTGCCAGGTTTGAGTGTCCTCAGCATATTTCAGTGCCCTCCCTCGTGACTGTGAAACTGCCCGCAGCCACTGCAACACAGGTTCGATCCCCCACCAGGGAGCTGACCCACATGGCACAGCAGACCAATCCTGTCTCCTCAGTGCTCCCCTCAGCAGTGTATTTCCTCCAATCTGCCTATTTTGCTCCCTGCTCTGTCTCTAGTGAATCCTGTCACCCACTCCCCGCCCCCGCACCTCTGGCCTGTACCCCAGTTCTGTGTGCATAAATAAATCTTAAAAAAAAATATTGCAGATGAAGACATGGACTCAGTTTGAAGGTAGATAACTCCCTGGGGTCCTGCTTCTGAATTGCTGAGTGACCTTGAAGGAATGTGCCCCATCTCTGAGTTCGGTGTCCCCAACTCTCTGAGGTGATTGGACCAAAGCCCTGCAAGGGTGCTGCCTGGTGGCCCTTGGATGGGCCCTTTTTTTTTTGGGCTTCCTGGGTGAAGAGCTGGACCCAGAAGAGAAGCCGAGGGCGGGGAATGGAGACATTCAGCTCCTGCCATCCCCAGCGCCTGGAAACAGAGGCCTCTTCCAAGGACTTGCAGTGCGGAGCGCCTGAATGAGGCGCTGGGAGCCAGGCTGGCTTCTCGCCCCAGCTCCCTCTTGGGAAGAATTGACTCTTCGCTGTCCTCAGCCTTGGGACTGCTGGGTGTGCTTTCCAAATGACCACTCACAGTTTGGGGGAAGGGGCTGGACGGTGCGTGAGTCACTGCAGGAGAGTGGTAGCCCGCCAGCCTGAATCACTCGTTTCCTGTCAACCTCTTGGCTAATAGGGTGGCCTTGGTGGGGGTGTAGGATGGGATCCTAGAGTGTTATCTTGTCTTTTGGGAGCCTGTTAAAATAGTCAGCATCCCGATGGCCTACGGCTGCAAGGGAGCAGTCAGGAAATACTGTCCCTGCGCCCCAGACCTCCCTCGCCTTCTGGCTGCGGGGACTCTGACGGGGTGGAGTCCTCAGAATTGGCCTTTAGACGTCGCAGATCAGCGAGGGCTGCCCACCCTTTGCTTTTACCTTAAAGCAAAAGCAAGTTTGCTGCTGGCTTGAATTGAGGGCAAAGCTGCCTGGCAGCTCTGAGAGTTCTCAGGCTCTTCTCCTAGCTCCTGGGATGGGAGGGCACCTGCATGTTGGCTTGGGGTCACGCTGCTGACCTCCAGAGGTGTGAGTCCACCTTTCTCTTGTCTTTGGGCGTGTTAGTCAAGCTCAGCCTTTCCAAGCCCCAGTTCCTGTAGGTAGGAAGGTGGAACCCTGTGAGGCTGACAGGAGCCGGCTGTCTGCCCGGAAAGCGCCAGGATCCGGTCTGGTAGGGAGGAGACTATCCTTAGAGAAGTTCCCTTCCTAGCCTGGAGGCCAACTCCAAGCCAGGTGGTCTGGTGCTTTGAGGATTCTTCCCCCAGGGCCCCTGGAAATCTCTCTCCCCTCCCCCTCCAGCTGCTGGGTGGGAGGGTGGAGTTAGGGTGGGGCTGCTGGAGCCCAAATCTATTTGTTTGTCTTAGAAGTGGGCTGTTGGCTAATTATCAGATGGGTTTATATTTAAACAAGAACCAGTTCCCAGCAGCCCCACCCTCCTGGCTCTATCAGTAGGAACCCCTGCTGAGCAGCTTGAAACCTGGAGGGAGGGGAGCGGGCCATGGCCACCCAGCACCACCCAGTGCCAGGACTCTACCTAGGGCTGGGGGTAGGTGCGTGGCGGA